TCACAACTTCATTTCGTTCAGCATAGTATTTCAAAAGCTTCACAAAATTTCCTCTATTAACAGACTTTTGTGACTCATCATGACCACGGAAAGGCAGACCTTGTCGCAATAAGTATCTAGAAACATCTATTGAAGCATTCAACCGAATCCTATACTCATTTATTGCAATATCACTATGTTTATGCCAAACATGCTCAATAGACTGATTTTGCTTCATTAAGTTTTCACACTTCATGACTGCATTATTATGAAAACTATTAACATGTCTCACATGTTCTGAAATTCTCTTAGACTTATTCCAACTAGAGAAACCTTCGGTGATCCATGCATTATCTTTTTCCACCTATACCATTAGTATCTATAAACAAGTAGCAACATAGACAAAAAGCTGCATCTTTCTTTGCACTATACTCCAACCACTTATTATACTGATCAAACCAACCAGGATTAAATTGCCTCATTATACCTCCTATCGAGTTTTGTTTAAAAATACAACTACGAGGCTGGCAAGGATCTCTAGTCCAGTATTTACGGATTACCTCTTCTCTTTGATTCAGATGATATTTGGATATTTTTTTGGATCTACAGGATCCCATGGTACATCATCTAAATCACATCGAGATAAAGAAGAGCTTTTCTTTTCAAAAACTTGTCCATTGATTGATCTGAAGAAAGAAAAAAACAAAAAAACGATTAATATAAAACAAAAAAAGCAATGCATAAAAGAAACCGTAAAAACATCATGTTTTAATCTAATTTATAATAACCGTTCATCAATCATGACTTAAGTCTAAAGCTAAGACAATTCTTAAATAAGTAAATAACGAAAGGCCGAAAGCTAAGATAATATTTCTAAAACAAACGTTTATATAGATACCAAAATGAAAAGGAATAAATTAGATAACAAAATAAGAATTACAACATCATTACTCACTTGGAGATGGATGAAATTCAAGAGAAGCATAAAAAAAATAAAAAAATAAGATAATTTCTAAAACAAACATCACTAAAGTCTAAAGCTAAGACAATTTCTAAAACAAACATCACTAAAGTCTAAAAGCTAAGACAATTATTAAACAATGAAAGCTGAGTCAGTTTTCTAAAACAAACGTTTATATAGATACCCAAATCAAAAGGAACAAAATAGATAACAAAATAAGAATTACAATATAATTATTCACTTACTTAATTATTTGATTGGAGTTGGATGAGAAATTGAAAATCAGAAAAAAGATTAAGAAGAAAGATAGAAAGTCACGACTCATAATTTTTTTTGAGTTTGGCGAATAAATTTTCTGTTTTTTTAGTTTTAGTCGATTAGGTTTCTATTTATTTAAAAATTGCTTAAGTTAAAATTTTACTTTGGTTTTCTAAATAATAAAGCCTAATATAAAATATGGACTAATAATAAAATTTTATTTATGGAATAAAACAAGGCTAAGAAAAAAAAAGTTTATGGGTTCAACTTTAATTTTGAACTGGTGTCAACATCATTAATTTCTTATACACTATAGAGAAATTTCTAATTAATATGATGTGAATTAACCCCGTATGAGTCTTACTAGACTCGCCTCTGTGGAGGTCTAGACATGAAACCAAAATGAAAAGGAATAAATTAGATAACAAGATAAGAATTACAACATCATTACTCACTTGGAGATGGATGAGATTCAAGAGAAGCATAAAAAAAAAAAGACAATTTCTAAAACAATTATTACTAAAGTCCAGAGCTAAGACAATTTCTAAAACAAACATCACTAAAGTCTAAAGCTAAAACAATTATCAAACAACGAAAGCTAAGACAGTTTTCTAAAACAAACGTTTATATAGATACCAAAATCAAAAGGAATAAATTAGATAACAAAATAAGAATTACAATATAATTATTCACTTACTTAATTATTTGATTGGAGATGGATGGAAAATTGAGAATCAGATTAATAAAAAAGATAGAAAGTCACGACTTATAAATTTTTTGGACTTGACGAAAAAATTTTCTGTTTTTTTTTTGTTTTAGTCGATTAGGTTTCTATTTATTTAGAAATTGTAAATTAAAGTTTTACTTTGATTTCTCTAAATAATATAAAATATAGACTAATAATAAAATTTTATTTAAAGAATAAAACAAGGTTAAGAAAAAAAAAGTTTATGGGTTTAACTTTAATTTTGAACCGGTGTCAACATCATTAAATTCTTATAAATTATAAAGAAATTTTTAATTAACACAATGTCAATTGACCCTATATGGGTCTTACTAGACTCGTCTCTCCAGAGGTCTAGACATGATATTAGTACATTGGTAGGTTCTCACAAAAAGTTTTAAACATTAAAAAATTCAAAATAATCAAAAGTGAAGAAAAAGAGTGAAGAGACTCATCTACCTATATTCATATTTATCTAGTTATCATTATATATTCATGTTCTTTTTCTGAATTATGAAACATCTAATAGTGGGTATCATCTTAGAACCTTTAAAAACCTTGTTGAGAACCTTATATCATATTTGTTATTTATATATTAGTCTAAATTTCTTTTTTAAATTTAAATTTAATTATTAATGTAATTTATTAAAATAATAATAATTTTTTTGTTCTTAAACCACGAAACTGGACGAGTTTACTCTCAGGCGTTCGTTTGATTGTGATGAAATCTTTCAATCCCCTATATATTAATTGAGAAGCATTTTTAAAGAGTAACCTCATTTTTGTAAGTATTTACAGTGGTGACATTATGCAGATGTGTCAACCCCACATTCATTCTTAGCTAATTTTTTGAAAAAGACTTTGATTACTAGACTAATTACATGATATGCTATTGTATATTTTAGGTCTATAAATATGTTATGTTTTTTTTAAATGAATTCAAAGACAATAATATTAGAATTAATAATTTAATAAAATAATTTTTTTAGTGCTAATTATAATATACACGAAATTTATTATATAATATTTTTAAAATAATCAATTCATAATAAAATATATAATATTTTTAATATTTACTATTTTTATCATTCATAGCAATATATATAATACTTTTTAATATTTAATACTTTAAAAAAAATATGTTTATTGATTATTCATAAAAAAAAACTATTCTTATAGAAACAACTGAAAAGTTAAAAATAATATTTTATTTTCCTCAAATTCATAACAAAATATATAACACTTTACTAATGTTTACTACTTTTATTAGAAAATATGTTTATTAATTGGTTATTAAAATATTCTTATAAATACAACAGAATAATTAAAAATAATATTTTATTTTTCTCAAAAATCAATCTGAACAAATAAAAGAAAGTCATAATGATTTTATTCATATATTTTTGTAATTATAACATGCATGAAATAATTGTGAAAACATATATAATACTTCAAGCTAAATATTTTAAAGTGTATATATTTTAACAATTCATAATAATATATAAAAATACATTATTAAAAATATATGTTATTTTCATCACAAACATCAATGAAAAAGAAAAAAAGTCATAATGACGAATTTCCAAAATTGTTATGATATATATTATTAATATTCGGATTTACTATATAAGGAAATATGATATACTGCATTATGGTTTAATTTATATATGACTCCTAGATGACAAATATGATATATATCATTATTGCTTTTTTGTAAGAGATCATAACATAATAATACCAATATTAATTTTTATTTTTTAATTAATGTTTGTTTTATCATATATAGTATCAAATTTTCAGCAAGATTTGTTCATTTTTTTTCTTAGTTTGTCGGCTTTAAATCAGTCAATTTAATTATGGTAAAAATTCTATAAATTGACAATATTGTGATTTTAATATTTTATTAATTTATAGAATTATAAATATATCAGTTTGGAATTAAATAAATTATTTATTAAAAATTATATTTGTCTTAAAAGTAAATGATATCTTTGAATATTTCACTTTTAAATTGTAGATAAACTATAACATTATTTCAATTTTAGGAAAAACAAACCACTATATATTCGTATTTTAGTAAATTATCATAGTTATATATTTATATAAGATTATTTTTTGGTAATTATTAATTTATGATATCAATGGAACCATATATTTATATAGATTTTTCTAAAAAGATATTATCTTATCGATTTGTATCATATTTTGAACAAGTCTAATTTGGAAATAGGAAAATTTATTAATTTATTTAACTGATAATATTTAATAGATAAGTAACAAATTATTTAACTAATAATATTTAATTATTTAACAGTCAAAAGTAATTAAATATATACATAAGTATTGTATACTTAAATTTTGAATATTGGTGAAAATAATAATTATATCACCAATCACAGGATATAGAAAATATGTATGGTAACTTCGTATTTCTACCCAACTATATCATGTGCTATGCATGCTATTTAATTTTTAAATTAATTTACATTACAATTAAATTATCTTATATTTCATAAATAATAAAATGCCATATTATCAATGTTATAGTACAATATTATATAAAATTTATATAAATTTAATTATATTATATTATAATTTTAAAATTATATTAAATTTAAATTTATAATAATTATTTCACTCATCTGCATGCGGGTTAGTATATTAGAAAAAAAAACCATTCGTGTCCTTGAAAAAAACCATTCCCGGTAGAATCACCGGTCGATAATTATCTAGCTTCTTGAGATAAGTAGGTGTCGTAACTATAATTATACTTAAGGAAATCAAAAATTACATTCACCGAATAGGTGTCGTAACTATCATTACGGCAAAAATCTACCGCAATATCTCTCAATCTAAACACTTCGTAACTTATATATTTCTTTTAACATAAAAACTTCTGTATCTCTTAAATAAAAAGTAGTTATTATCAATCGGAAAATCCTTACTGTCTAGTCGTTGTCAATTGTCGATTTTTTTTTTTTTAAATTATGTGGATGCTAACGAAGTTATACATATCTAATATCTTGCATCAAAAGACATGATCTCAAGAAGCTCGATAATTATCGATACACAATGGTTTTATAGTAAACGGTACAACTCGGGGTTCAGCCGAGGCATAACAACGACTTCGACCGGGTTGATCTTTGGCAAGGCTAAACCAGGCCCTTCAGCCATATCCAGCGGTTCACCAGACACTTTGTGCAAATCAAACCCTTGAACTAACCGAGCCAACACTAAGTGAACAACTCTTAGGCCAAGATTCATCCCTGGACACGACCTTCTTCCCGAACTAAACGGAATATACTTGAAATCGCTTTTTTCACACTGCGATTTCTCCTCCATGAACCTCTCAGGCTTGAAGGTTTTAGGGTCAGGCCAGATCTTGGGATCCCTGTGAATTTTCCAGATGTTGACGAGCAGGCGTGTACCTTTCTCAACACGGTAGCCTCCAAGTTTACAAGCTTCACTCGCTTCGCGGATTCCTGATCATAAATCATTTTGTATAAGCATATAAGTTTATAATTTACAAGATTGATAAGCTTATCTAAGAATAATTAAAGGTTAATAAGCACATGTAAAAATAAAGACAAGTAATTAAGAGTCTTTGATTAGTAACCTGTAAGAGGAGCTGGTGGGTAAAGCCGGTGAGTTTCCTTGACAATAGCTTGTAGGTACTTGAGGTTTTGTATATCGGATTCTTCAACCCATCTCCCTTTCCCTACACTATTTTCAATCTCTTCTTGTGCTGATTTCAAAGTAGTAGGATTGTTAAGAAGCAATGATACAGCCCATGTAAGAGTGATGGATGTGCTGTCTGATCCCGTTAATGTAAGAACCTACAACAAGAAACAAAACGTCATGTTGGTTCCACTATACAAATTCATCTAAACACCAATATTAGTATGGATACAAATTATATCTTTTATAAAGTACCACAACTTATTGTACATATGGGATTTCATAACATATATCTCAATATATAATTAGCTTGAGAAACTGTGCATACCAAAATAGTTGCCTTGACAATGACATCTCGTACATGTCCACATGTTACAACATCTTCGGGTAAGATGTCAAGCAATAGATCCATGATAGTCTTTTCTTGATCTTTCTCGTTTCTTGATCTCTTCTTGAGATGTTGTTGGAGCCACTTGGTGATGACCGAGTCAAGCTCCTTAAAAGTTCTCTTCATTTGAGAAATTTTTGCGAAATCCAACCATCCAAGCCATGGAATCACGTCGCCTATCATGAAAACCGCAGCCAAGTACTCGCTTTGCTTCAGCGCCTCTTTATAACGCCACTCCTCGCTCTTCACTTTGCCGAATCCAATCCTCTTCCCCACCATCTTCCTAAGGATTATATTGAAGGTCAAAAACTCGAACAACATGTCAACCTTCACCACTGAAGTACCATCACTCCCTTTGTACAGGTATTTAATAAACTCGTTTACTTCCGAGTAGCGAATGTGGCCGAGCATCTCCATACTCTGGTTTGAGAAGAGATGGACGGTGGTGATCTTGCGTAGCTCACGCCAATAGTATCCGTAAGGAGCCAGCGCGAGAGCTGCATTGTTGTAGCCTACATACCTACCAAAGGCTATATTGGGTCTGGTGGCTAGAACCAAGTCGTTGGTGGTGAAACAATCTTTGACGATCTCGGGGTCGCTGGCTATAACCAGCCTGTAAAATCCTAACTTGAGGGAGAAGATAGGGCCAAGTCTATCGGATATGGCAGCGAGTTTCTTGAAGACGAGTTCTTTACCTCGCAGAAGATGGAGGTGGCCGAATAGAGGCAAAGCTCCTAATGGCTCAGGGATGGTTGAGCTGTCAACTTCACAACTACTTGGTTTCCTAAGAAAAAAGTAACCGGCGATTACAAGGGCCAAAGAGAATAGAGAAAATTGGAGAGTGCTAAAGAGAAAAGTCATGGTGAATATTTTGTTTGAGGTATGAGAACATAGCTTTCTTTTACGCTTATATATAGTACACAAGCTAAGGTAGACTTTCATTATGCATGGAATCATAAATAACGTTAAAAAAATTTATGTGTAAGGACCACATCCTCTAATCTTTATTTTCTTTGTTGAAAAGTTAAAGAGAAAAATATTCAAGTCATTTTCAAGGATGTTGGTTGTAAGATAAATAAAACATGATGTACAGTGAGTATTATTGTATTATGCAAACTATATGTTATTGTAATATTTGGTGAGCTTTATCATTATCTATGCCAAACGCTTCGATTAAACTAATTTGATTAGTTAATAATGATAAATCCATATTATATTTTTAAGTGATTTTGTAAAGACTAACCTAATTTTTTAGTTTTTGGTAGATTTAATATTATTGATCAGTTCTAGATTTCAAATTATACCATACTTGTACCCGCACAACATAATTTTTTTTATTCAAATAATCGTTCTTGTATGTCATGCACGGATCAACCATATATTGATGATATGATAATAAAAATTAAACCAGATGCACATATACTTTAGAAGAAGCCAAAGAAGAAAAAAAAGTATCTAAATAGTTACTATAGAATGTATTATAATGGTCTCCGACCGAATTTGAGAGAAATGAAGATGGTTTTTTTTTTTACGGTTTTTAACTTATTTGATTTGTTATATAAAAAACTAATTAAAAATCAATAGATTTGTTGAAAATAAATTAGTTGGTCAAAGAAACTAACAATCGGCCGACAAAACCTCACGATGTTGAACATTGTAAAAACGCTAGCCAACTCAGCAACTCACTACCTTTTTTTTCTAATTCAACAATACTCTTACACTTATTCTAAAAATTTTTACAATTCGAACCAGTAAATTCCATGTGACAGTGATACGTACTGCTAGGAGTCTGAAGATTGGTTAGCTATAGAGTTTGCTTGATAAGATCCAAAGACACCATCAATTTTGTGGGGTTTGGTTTGGGCCTAATACAAAGTGAGCCATTCATATTATTATAAATATCAATTGACTTTTCGTTGATGTTCCCTATTGAGTGTAAGTCTATACGTAAATCAAATCACTTAATCACACCAACTTACAAGACAAGCAAAAGCGACCCGAGCAGGACGAGTTTTAGTCGTGTAATTATCTTTAATAGGCCATCCTTAAATGTCGCAAGTTTCACGGTGGAAAGATTATTCATAACTATCAATTTCCATGCACATATATGACGCGCGAAACAAAACAATTCCCCCCCCCCCCATATTATGATGTCATATGTTTCAATGGTCATCAAAAATATGAAACATGTTTTTTTGGTCTGATGTTATTCCAACGTATAGATAATTGTACTAGAACGTGTGCCATGAGTTTGCGTCTGTGTTTCTTCATTCGGTATATATATTTGACATTAGTCGCTGTAAATATAATTCTTTAGTTTTATATATAGTTTATTCCTCCATGTAAATGCACATTATGGTCATAAAATTAAAAAAAAAAAAAGAGTTGCACGTTATGGGTTTTAGATTTTTAAAATACTTTACTCGGTTAACGTCAATAACTTTTGTAGATTTTTACACGTACTATATTTACATGTGTATATTGGTCCAATAACCATAACTTTCTTCGAATCATCAATAGATTGGTCCAATGTTACCGCGTTTAACTGAAAACAGTGTTCGTAACAAAAAGAATCGATTATCCCAAATTTCATGTTTATTGAAAAATTGTATCAAGAAGATTATTAAGAAGAACAAAATGAAAAATAAATGATATAATTTCCACAAGCTATATATGCATCACCTTTCTTGTATATATTTTTTCTTAACATTTGAATTCTATTTTGACAAATTTGAACCCACCCACGAGATAAAGATGACATGGCCATCATAAATTTCTTGTACCTCCTCAAATAATAATTAGGACCACACAAACGCTGATCTTTAGATGAATCTCACTTAACTTACAAAAGAGGGTACTAGGAAAATGAAAGATCGGTGCTATTAGAACATGATAGGAACGACTTGGTTTGTCAAGTTTAATATAAAGGACTTTAATTAAGAGTCATTTTGGGATCGAGCTGCGATTGTGTAGAATATCTAAATCGATTTGTTTAGGGATCACATAAAAGAACGGAAAAGAATCACAAAAATGATATGTTAGCAAAGTATAATTGCGACAAATAATCGCCATAGTCGAAGATGAGAGGAACCTTTCTTGAATCTTCAGATGGAAACCATAAACTAGTTTGTGGCAGTATAAAAAGACAGATCTACAGATGCATGTAAAACATAAATTTGCTTACAACATTTTATATTCTATGTGTTGTGAAATATTTTCTTAAGAAACATACAATCTAAGGTTACAAAGATTTATTCCAGAGGCTTATATTGTAAGTTATGCAAGCTCTCTTGTATATATAAGTACAACGTTAAAAAGGATTCACCCGAAAAGGTGGGTAGAACCCGAAGATCAAAGAATGATGAGCAAATATAATGGGGCTGTGGTGATGAAACTATAAGTATAGATGATAAAATAAGGAAAATTAATCATTATTTCGCTCATAATCTCTCTCGGTTAGCTTAATGTTCGAGCCCAATGATGGTTGGTGTATCTTTATTTAGTTTTGGTTTCGATGTTAGTATATATTAGCTTTCTTGTTTGGGGTTTGTGTTTTTCGTTTTTAGACTTATATATGTTTTCGGGGATTTCAACATTTTATGCTGAATTTTATAATTTCATCTTGGTAATATTAATCAATCAGATGACAAAAAGAGAGAGAGATGATGTTAGCAATGACATAGCACTCACAATGATGTTAGCAATGACATGTCACACAAAAAGAATTTGTTTGGCCACATGTTCAATATAAAGGTTAAACATAAACAAAAACTATACAATAGTATTGTTTATTTTTGCCCTGTCATAATGTTAGTGTAAATAGCTAAATCGCAACAGTTTTATATAAAGTTTATAATCACTACAGAGTTATGATATCTGGCTAAGATTTATTTCAAATTTTTAGTGTATATATATATTTACTAGGTAAAAGATTCGATTCACTTTATCATATTGACCAGAAAAATATGAATTAATCAATTATAAAAACTTGACATTGGTCGTAAAATTATTTTAATACGCACCCTTTTGTGCAGCTTAATGGATTTTTTAGGCAAGAGTCAAATAGGTCACATTTGAACTGTTATGGTTAGTACTCTACTAATGGAAAACCATTACGACTTAACACAAAACAAAAATAAACATTGACCTTAATAATCACAATCAAGTGAAAAGTAGTTTCATTTCACAGTCACTAGTAATAATCCTATTATCTAAAAGATCCACCACATTCACTCAATTCACCAATAATATTATTTATCACGGTGGCATTTTGGGTGGCTATGTAAATCCATCCGATTCTTATTTCCACTCTAAAGAAGTATAGTGTCCAACGTTACTGACTCCACCACTAGTACCACCAATTATCTCACTTCTCTTATATATATTATTAGGTAACAACTAACTAATAAACAAATCTTCTTACTCTTATTTTTCTATAAAAGCGTGAGCTCTCCACAAGCCTTCTCATATAACAAAGTTCAAGTACTAAGCATCACTACTTAGAAAGAATTCAACACCATGGCTTCTAACGTTGAGCTTTCGGAAAGAAGCAGCCCAATGAGTCAGAAAAGTCGTCCAAGAGCAGAGAAAGAGGAAGTGGACTACATGCAGAGAGCTCAGTGGCTAAGAGCTGCCTTGCTTGGAGCCAATGATGGTCTGGTCACAGTGGCGTCGCTCATGATGGGTGTTGGTTCAATTAAAGAAGACGTCAAAGCAATGTTGCTTGTTGGTTTTGCCGGCCTTGTAGCCGGTGCATGCAGTATGGCCATTGGAGAGTTTGTGTCTGTGTGCACACAAAGAGATATTGAAACTGCGCAGATGAAGAGAACGATTGAGACTAAGACATCATTATCAGCAATTGACGAACAAGAGGAGGTAAAGTGTATACATACACAGTACACACCATAAACACTAAACCTTACTCACATTAGTTTTTTTTTATAAATAGATAAAAAGTATATTACGTATATTCCTAGATATTTGCGATTAGTGAAAAGATTGGTATAAGCCATCAGTCACTAGTTTAATTTTGCATCTAAAATGCATCACTGAATATGGTAGAATCTTACTTCAATAAGGGTAAGATTGTTTACTTGTGTTTGTGTTACATAGTATAAGTTTGGTTTTTCGTTCCCAAAACTGATCAAACCACAACACCAAGCATGTTAAGCAAAAAACTATTATTAGTTGGCATGTTTAATTACGTTTGGGTATTCAGCGTTTATATATACTGAAAAAATGTGATAACTAAACTAAAGAATATTTCATTGTAACATTGTGATTTCGTTTTTGACATCTGAATGCAAATATATAAATTGGCGTTTTTAAAATAATTGAAACTCTACTATCATAATTTGGGATGATACATGTGCAATGAATAGTAATGGCATGACATTTCATTTCTATATGAACATATAGCTAAAGATATATAGGTGACCTTAATGGCATGCAGGAGGAGAAGAAAGAACGGCCACCAAATCCAGGACAAGCAGCAATAGCGTCAGCGTTAGCGTTTTCAGTGGGAGCAGCGGTTCCGCTTCTAGCCGCTGTATTCATAGAGAATCATAAGGTAAGAATGGCGGTGGTAGCGATTGTGGCCACCTTGGCATTGTTAGTGTTTGGAGTGACCGGTGCGGTCTTGGGAAAGACAAGCGTGGTTAAGTCGAGCGTTAGGGTGGTGATTGGTGGCTGGATGGCTATGGCTCTAACCTTTGGTCTTACCAAGTTCATTGGCTCCGAAGCAATGCAAATCTAGACGCTCTTTCAATGATCTTCTTGTTTCCATGCATCTCAATTAGTGTTTATGTTTGTGTTATGATCATCACACTATCTCATCCCAAACCATATATGTGATGTAGAGTATCAAATGCACAACAAAAACACCAAAAAGGTCAATTAATAAATGGTTTTGTTAACTGAACTTCATTTCACAGTTCCCTACGTACATATGGTGCAAGTGAATAGTAGATTGCAAGACATTTGCAAAATCTTCCTTGTAATTTAGGTCATGCAAGCAACTAAGTATTTAAAATTTACGTAAAACACGACTAGAGTGGATTCACGGTAAAAAGCGTTATGGTTAACATTTTGAACCGCAAGTTTGTGAAATGTATCTTGAATCTTTCATACAAAAACAGAAACTAAGAGGTGAAGTGTTCTGTGTTCACATGTCCTCTTGATTCACAGTTAGAATTAAAAAAAAATCATTTGGGAACAATCTAAATAGTTAGAGTTGTATACGTCACCATAGTATGCTATTAAAAGTTGGTTACGGACCTAAGAAAAGAACAGTTGAAGTTTGGTAGCATAAAGAAAATCATCCAAGATCCCAAAAAAAAATCGCAAGAAATGACTACAAAATATTATAAACTCTCCAATAATGTTATTTACATCAAATGTAAGTTACTCAAGTAACTTTCGGTAGACATAATACAAAGCATCCTTATAGTTATTCCACAAACCACTAACCACGGTCGATACCATTTCGACAAACCCTTCAAAAACTTTCGGCCATTCCTCAAGAAATTGGTCAAACCATGGCGATCCTTTCTCCCTCACATCACCAAATCTCAATGAGATAGAATCTGATATTCTCATGACTCGTACTTTCGCCAGATCAAACAAGATCATAAACACTTCAGTGATTACATCAACAACTAGTTCACACAATTTGGGAAAACAAGACTCGGCTGTATCTCTCACCAGCTTGATCAATGCAGAAATGGCTTCTCCTGGAATCTTGAATGTTTGAACAAATAAAACGAAAGAACAAGCTGCGACGTGGAAGATCACATAAGAAATTGAATTAGACAAGAAACATATAGTCAAGAAGAACAAATTTGCTAAAGCAGCTATCATCTTCTTTTAATTTTTCTCTGTCTTATGGCATTGAAGAAGGAAGAAGAGGGAAAATTAAGAAGAAGAAAACAACACCGACGTGCACCGGTTATGATTATTTCTATATCAATGCTTGGGTAATTAAAAATGTTTCAGAGGTGCTTGGTGACATTCACAATTTTATTTGGGGGAATAGTTTAATAACTTTGATTAGTAAATTGATTGACTTTGGGATTTCAAAGACTAGTACTTCTCATTACATATATATCGGTCAAATTGTTTTTTAAAAAAACCGGATGGAATCAATTTTGATCCAGAAATTAGTGTAGTTTGTTTGTTAGGTGAATCTTATACTCTTTCATGTTTATAAAGTGTCATTTTAACACTTAATTTTGTTTTCAGAAAAATATCATTTTATATTTTTAATGTAAATTTTTAAATTAAATATCAGTTCTATCCTTATTATTTGAGCTTATTAATTGGAGAAACCCTAATTTAGTATATTATAAAAAATGACACAATAGAGAGATTTATAAATTTTCTTAATTTGTGTAAATAGTGTCAGATGACAATTTTTAAAAAACAGAGAAAATACATTGCAAATGTAATGTGACCTTTAAATTTGATTTCTAATGTGATCTCCCACATGAATTTTAACAATTGTATCCAAGTGTGAACATATGCGAATTCAATTTAAACCGAAATCAAAACACCGGTTTAGGAATCAAATGAGATGAGATAAAATAAAATTAAAAATTAATTCTTTTGGTCAACAATTATAATTACTAAATATATAACTCGCGCTACACGCGAGTCTCTATTAATATTTTGGTTTATAAATTATATATTTATAGAGACTTTCATTTATATAAGTGAATTTAATATATAATGTGTAATTTACCCTATTTTTATTTATAAATTTAAAAAACTATTAGGTAAAATAATAACAATGATACCTATCGAATTATCCAACTTTAACGTACATATACATTTGATTTAGAGAAATATAATCTTGCTAAGATTTTGGTATTATTTTCTGTTTTCTATAGAATTTCTATAGTTCTTTTTTTAAAAGGTTTATGTGTTCAAATATTTAGTTTTTTTATTGAAAATCTTATTGATGTTGTGTACCACTGTATATATAATCTATGATTCATGTTAATTCACATTTAATTTTGTTAAAAAGCTGTAATGATCATGCAAAACTATTTTTTCCTTCTCTATCATGTCTTCCAAGAGTTTTATGTTATATTTTTATTCAGTTTTTCATTGTTTTAATTGTTGAATCGAGTTGTTGTAAATTTTTTTAAATTGATAATTGATAATGGTTACTTTTTTATACATGTATTGTTAATTGTTAATTTTTTTTATTTAACTTTTAAAATTGTAAACCATATTAACATTTTTTTATTTAATAAATATGTTGATTTGGATCAATCAGATTGAATTTACTTTTTTTTGTTGGACATAATTTGTTAAATTAACTTTTAATATTTTAATTATATTTAATAATTTTTGGTTTGATTTAAAAGCTGATATTGACCAATTAAATCAAGTTTTTCCGTCTTAATCATACTTAACATTTTTTTATTTAATAAATATGCTGATGTAGACTAATAAAATCGAGTTTTTTAATCTCATGTAGACGTCCTCGATGCATTATACCTTCAATTATATGATTTTTAAAAATCCTCTAAACCCCTTCCTTGTATTATGCGACTCAATTTGTATAACTGAGACGCCGGAAAACTGTTAGGCAACGACATCGACTTCTTATTCCGCCGCTGCTGATACAATGTCGGCGACTCTCCGACGCTTCATCCTCATCTCCTCGGTAAAACGCACCCAGAATCTATCTCCCCCATGCCTTTTATCTGCCGTGAGTCGCCTATCTCTATATTTCTCTTCCGTCTCATCTTCGTTTCCATCGCATCCGCCGGAATCACACGCCTCCCCTTCCCGGATTCGAACCCGAACTCCACTCGAATCTCAATTCGAGACATGGATCCAGAATCTGAAACCAGGCTTCACTAACTCAGATGTAGTGGCGGCGTTGCGTGCGCAATCCGATCCGGATCTAGCCTTCGACATTTTCCGTTGGACAGCTCAGCAACGAGGCTACAAACACAACCACGAGGCTTACCACACTATGATCAAACAAGCAATCACCGGAAAACGAAACAAATTCGCCGAAACCCTAATCGAAGAAGTCGTCGCCGGCGCTTGCGAAATGAGCGTCCCTCTCTACAATTGCATCATCCGATTCTGCTGTGGCCGTAAGTTCCTGTTCAATCGAGCTTTCGACGTTTACAACAAAATGCTTCGATCAGATAACTCAAAGCCTGACCTCGAAACCTATACTTTGCTTCTAAGCTCGCTGCTCAAGAGATTCAACAAATTGAATGTTTGCTATGTGTATCTTCACGCAGTTAGATCGCTCACTAAGCAGATGAAATCATCTGGAGTGATTCCAGATACGTTTGTGTTGAACATGATAATCAAAGCTTATGCAAAGTGTCTTGAGGTAGATGAAGCTGTAAGGGTGTTCCGTGAGATGGCTCTGTATGGTTCTGAGCCAAATGCTTATACTTACAGTTACTTAACGAAAGGGCTTTGTGAGAAAGGAAAGCTTGAACAGGGTTTAGGGTTTTACAAGGAGATGAGGAACAAAGGAATGGTTCCTAGTGGGAGCTGTTACATGGTTTTGATCTGTAGTCTCGCCATGGAAAGGAGATTGAGTGAAGCTGTCGAGGTTTTGTATGATATGTTGGCGAATTCGTTGTCTCCGGATATGTTGACTTATAATACGGTTTTGGCCGAGTTGTGTAGAGAAGGTAGAGGTAATGATGCTCTTGAGCTTCTTGAGGAATGGAAGAAGAAGGACCCGGTGATGGGTGAAAGGAATTACAGAACATTGATGGACGAGGTGTATTTTTTGAACAAGGGATGAAGCTGGTTCTGTTCATCTGAGATTTGCTTGGTTGTTCTAAATTTGAAAATGGCTAAACGATGGATCTTTTTGGTTGGTTTGGTTGAAAGTGTGTGTGTTTTAGACTCAGGAATGATCCAAGTTTTGATCTTCAAGATTCTGTGTTCTTTAGATACATTACTCAGGTTGAAGCATAGTGATTGGAAGACTGAAGACTCGAGCCATGATAAGAATGGTTCTTCAAGATTCTGTGTTCTTGACATTATGTGGTTTCTGTTGATTCAAGATCTCATTGTCTTGTATCTTGTTCTGAGAATGATGTGTAGATGATGAGGTCTAATGACCATTGTATGACTCTTTCTCCTTTAGGATATCGATGGTTTACTGATATTCCTTACAAACCGAAAAAACCAAAAATTTGATTCGGTTTAGAATAGATCGATTTCGGTTTAGTGTAAACCATGATGTACATCACATGATTCACATTTATTCTTCTTTCATTCGATGAAACTGAAACCAATTATTTAGATTGCTCTCAAGTATTTGAACAGAGAGGCACAATGTGAATGTCTCGTGATCTGCTCATTTGTCTCGGCGCTTAAAACACGTTAATTAAGTGATTGCATATGGGTTTAATGGGCTATATATTATTAATATGATGTAGGCCCATTAAGTTCACTTCTGTTATTTGTCAAAGTCAACAGATCTACAGTATAATCAAATCAGTGAGAGAGAGAGAGAGATCGAAGAAGATGAGCCCTGCATCCGCCATGAAAGCTGCTGGAGTTTTGGTTCTGCTAGCCATTCTAACATCAGGTAACATAATCATTTCTTCTACCTTCTTCTCTATCATTCTCGATTTCGATGCGATTTCGTCCCACACCTGTGCAATCGATCAGATAATGTTTACCATCCGCAATTTTTTAAAAATGTGTTTTGAATATGTTTTGATACTCCTGTGATATCGATCTGATCTCCTTTGTTTGTTTCTCGTTGATTGTGATGATGATGATGATCTTCAGCTTATGCGAAGAAGTCAGCTGATGTGACAGAGTTGCAGATCGGTGTTAAGGTATGCTAAAAAAAGCTCTTTCGTGTCACTCATCGAAGTTAAATTTTTGTCTACATTTTGATCTCAATATGCGTAATTGGAATAGGATAATGGTCATTATTACGTTGTTTGTCTTCCTGATTTCCATTAGTTTTTAGGCATTTATAACATTTATGGATGAAAGTTCTCTCGTTCTCCAATATTGAAGCTTGTTTACTTTTGTTATTTGTGTAGTCTTTCTTCAGTTTAAGCTTGACACAATAGATACTTGGGTTTTGTTTTTGTTTTTAATTTTCTATCATTCTATGCAATGTTACTTTTGTAAAGTAAATGAAGAATTTGTAAATGGACTCAAACGGCTTTGATTTGTTCATTTTTTTACAGTTCAAGCCTCAAAAATGCGATCTTCAAGCTCACAAAGGGGACAAGATCAAGGTCCACTATCGGGTAAGTGTCATCGAAGCTTCTACTAGCTCTATAAGTTATGCTGTGAAGATCCTTCTTGCTTAGCTGTTAGTATTACTATTATGATTGAGAAGAGAAGAAGTCATGGAGAATCTATCTTGTTAATTCATCTAGAAACTTCAATGATATGTTCTGAATTTGTCAGTGAGAATGGGCATGATGATTTTGCTGATAATGTGGAACTCATTTCATTGGTACCTTAAGAACAAACAAGGATAATGAATCTGATCTAAAAAAATGCTTGGCGATTAACACAGCCCTCTCTTTTGTTTTTGCAGGGAAAGTTAACAGATGGAACTGTCTTTGATTCAAGTTTCGAGAGAGGTGACCCTATTGAGTTTGAGCTTGGAACTGGTCAAGTCATTCCAGGTTTGTTGCCATTTCATCGCAGCAACTCCGTCTTTTATTGATGAACCAACAATCGAAGTTAATGCAAAATAACTTTTAAATGTTTTGCAGGATGGGATCAGGGTCTACTCGGAGCTTGTGTAGGTGAGAAGAGAAAGCTGAAAATCCCATCAAAACTTGGTTATGGTGATAACGGCTCACCACCAAAGATCCCTGGTATGTTATCTAGTAGATTGTTTATGTTTCCATCCTCTTTATCTAATGATGAAGCTAGAGAAGAGAACATATGATACTAAAATTTGACAAGGCAAAAAGACTAATGATGCACAACTTTAAACCATTTCGATGTTCCATGATATGAGTTGTATTGTGGTTTTAGCTTACGTTGAGCTTTTTGAATCTGCCAAAAAAAAAAAGAAAAGATGGGAATGAAAAACAAAGTGAACGTGTTGTGTGAATTTGCAGGTGGGGCTACACTTATATTCGACACCGAGCTTGTTGCTGTGAATGGGGAAACATCCAGCGAAGAGAAAACGAAGAACGAGCTATGATTAATACAGTCTCTGCTTTCTTGTTTTCCTTCTCTAAGAAACCGATAAGTCAGCATTGGATTGAACTTAAGCACGCCTAGAATCATGTACTTTTGCTAGTTGAAGACAATAATTATCTTTTTGGTCTTAACATAAGTTATTTTGGCAGTTGGAAAATGACAACTTTACTCGTTGATCGTTGATGAAAACTTAATACCTATGTTTGGTAACAAAAACATGTGGGATTGAAGAAAATATGAATACTTTACTTTGCTAGTCGAAGATATTTATATATTTCTAATTAGCATATATGCGGATTTTTAATAAAATACTTATAAATTCTTTAAAATAACTGAAAAATAAATTCAGTAATTTATATAGCTAAATAATTATAATAGACGACAAAAAAATAATAATTATAAAAACATAAGTTTTTAATAATAAAAAATTAAATCAGTTAAAATGTTTTAAAAAAATAGAAAACAAAATCCCATTAATGGTAAAAAATATATTAAAAATTAAAAATTATTTATTTAACTTTTTGATTAAAATAAACAGAGATTTTTTTTTTGTCGTAAAAACAGAGAAACTATTGTAAGTTTTAAACAAGATTACTTTTATTTTTTATGTAGTTCAATATTTTATTAAATTTTTATTTTATTTTATTCTGTTAAAAAATATAGGTATACAATTTCAGTATTTCGAATATGTTAACTCTTCCAAAGCAAACATGTATACAATTTTAATATTTCAAATGTTAACTCTTCCATAACAAATAAATTTTTTCTTTTTCAATAGATATATGATATTTGCTTTATAGAAAAGTTATTCTTCTCTATAATCGCTTCAAAAACTTTTTTTTATAATTTTCTCTGATTTTCTTTATCATTATCCAATGTCATATCATTAGCATCTTTGATTTTTTTTTTTGTAATTCTACGTTGCAAAGTTTGCATGTAATTTTTTTTTCTAATTGTCTAATTATCGAATACCAGAAATATTTTAAATGAATAAAATAATCAGCAAACAAATCATAAAAGATAAATATTTACAATTCCAAAGCTATCACAATGGATACAAATTTGGAATCGTATAAAGTGTTTTAATAATAATTATAATACAATAAAAGAAGAAAACTATACCTATAAAATGAAGCTCAAGAAGTATTATATTGTTTGATAAAAAAATATGATAGATTTTATGGTTTTTACATAGATGTATGTAATTGTTCGAGCGTAAATTTGGTCGTCCGGGGTCGTGGAGCTGGATTTCCGAGTTTTGTCACGTGGGGGAGATAAGCGGTATGCAACTTCAGGGCAAAAATCTGATGGGGCTCTGCACATAAGGACACACAGGTAAATTGTGTCTCCGAGAAGATCGGAAGGAGTTTTTCATCGAGAAGGTTCTCCGACGCCCAACTCAACGAACGCCCTATTGGGAACAGGGGGGGGGGGGGGGGGGGGGGGGGGAGGAGAGGGGTAGATTTGGTGAGGTTTTGGTTGTTCGTATATCCCGTCCATGAATCGTGATACCCATCTGATGTTTGATGAGAGCGGAAGTAGGATAAATGGACTATGAAGAGAGCGGGGTAGGAACTCTTCCTACATGGGTTATACGCAACTGAAAGGGGGAGAAAGGCTTATCTCGACCCTTTGATCGTTCCTGCAAGATAACCAAGATTCGTTTGATACCCAAAGGTTTTGGCTGATTGTAGGCTTGTAAAAATAGTATGTTCTGACCCTGCCGCGCCTCCAGAGGAATACAGGTCTAGTCGGGGCGAAAGCGGGGTTTCCAGAGAAACGGCTGAATTCCTGGAGGAATGGTTGAGAATTTCCCCGATCTTGCCACACATCCGAAAGGAGTACAGATCTAGCCACACCGAAGCTGGGTTTCTAGAGAAACGGTTGAATTCCTGGAGGAATGGTTAGGTTCCCAGAAGAACTGTTAGATTGGATCCTATTCGGTTGGGGCATACATCCTGGGAAAGTACATGCTTGCCCGTAATAGGAGGATTTTAGGTTCCCAGAAGAACTGTTGGTCGCCCATAGGTGAGCATCTCTCCGGAGGAATTTTACTCCTTGCTTCGGGAGGCACTAGACAAAGAACCGTCTTCCTTCTCCATTGTGACTATGAGGAATTTATAGCCTTATGTGACCATGGGGATCGACATAAAGCAATGATGTGGTTTTTAGACACCTACCCTAAGAACCACATATAGCACCTTGAGGGGATGAAAAGATGGTCCCTATGCGCAGGTTGCAACATAAGGGGGAGCTGTTACTTTTTTGCAGCTTGTGCCAGACAGCTTATGGCAAAACAGGGAGTTTCCCAGAGGAGTTATCCCGACTCCCTCACTGTAAGAACATTCTTCACGTTTTGCTTATGCGGAAATTTTCATGGTTTTAGAATCATGTTATGAAGGGATTTGCTTTAAAAGAGAAAGCTCTACGGAGACATGGGGGGGGGGGGGGGGGGGGGGGGGGGGGGGGGTTGTACGGTTCATGGGTGGAGCTGGCGAAGAAGACCTGAAGGCCTGCAGAACCGGAGTCCCAATTCACAGAGGAAAAATGCCCCCGAAAGCTGATGCGTACCCAGAAGGAGCACACCAAAGAGTTGCGGGGTCCTCGGAAGGAGCTGGAAAAAAGGCTGGAGGTTTGCGGTACTGGAGTCCCGATTCCCAGAGAAAAATTCCCCGGAAGGCTAATGTGTCCCCGTAAGGAGTACACCAAAGGTTTGCACAGTCCCTGAAAGGAGCTAGCAAAAGTACCCGGAGGTCTGCAGGATCGGAGTCCAGAATACCCGAAAGAATGATGCCACAGAAGAAAGACAAGTCCAGATGGGAGCATACTAAAAGAAATTTGGGCTAAGGGTTTTCATAAAACTCGGATTACAAGCATAGTGCTCCCCAAGGGTAAAGTAAGTGCAGACAAGAATACTAGCAGAAAAGCGATAAACAGGTAGGGGAAAGTAAAATGAAGGATTGCGGGAACCCGAAAGGCTAGGCAGTAAAGTAAACGTGTAAGAAAAGATTCAAGTAAGCAATGGATCAGACAGGGCGTCACTCAAACATGAGATCGGGCAGTCATGCAAGCACATAATTAGGAAATCATGCAATCACAAAATCAGGAAATCAAGTAATCATGCAATCACATAATTAGAAAATCAAGCAATCACTTAATGAGGAAATACGGCAATCACAGAATCAGGAAATCAAGCAATCACGCAATTAGAAAATCAATCAATCACAGAATCAGAAAATCAAGCAACCATGCAATCACACAATCAAGAAATCACGCAATCATGCAAGTGGGAAGCGGGAGGACACGCACGTCGAAGGAAATTACGACGATTTGTTCGCACGGACAAACAATAGCGAATGGACCCGCGCGAATTGCCCCGGGGGTGGATACATGTATCATGTGAGGTCTGAGAATTCATACTGTTACTTTTGACTTGTCGTTGATAGGGAAGGCAACTCGCTTGCGTTTCCAGGGACTTTTGACGTCTCCAGCTACTTCTCTGTGTCGAGAGTTACGCTTCTCCCGGGCAGGGGAAGATCCATTCGTCGGTGGTGCGATCCATGTGTTGGGCTCTTATTCACCCGCTGCGTGGGAAGTTACACCACACTATTTGCCTTGCTTCTCGTGAATTGGCGCTTCTTTCCTTCCCTAGGCTGGGAATCATCACGTCAACCGTTCTATTAATGGGAACGTCGCTTTGGTGCATGGCCTGAGATGAAATTAATTGTAACTTCCTCCCTCGCTGTTGGTCCAAAACTTGCAGCTGCCCCATAGCCTTATGCCGGCACTCTAAATAGGTGGAGCGAGGGGATACTTTCTTCACTTCTTCTAACGAAGCGTTCCTTGACCATGCTCCTTCTTTTCTTCCTCTTTCTGACCGATTTTTCTTTCTTCCTTCACGTTTGTCAGTATGATTAACTGGCTCGACGACAGTCACTCTCGGCTCATCTCCAGTTTCCTAAAGGTGCCCCTGGACTCAAAGGCGTTTTGCCCGACTCTCTGGGTGGACCCAATTGCAAACGTTCCTGACGAAAAAGTGTGAGGCGCTCCCCAGGGTGAGCAATCCTCGGCGGCCTCTTTCCCATCAGGCTCTGCGACCTCGCCTTCCCGAGGCATCTGCGTCCTTCTTTGCGCCAAGTTGCTAGACCTTGGGTTTGGTGCTCCGTTTGGGGGAGCTGCGGGTCTCAGAGTGACGGTTGTACTCGCTCTACAGACCTGACGGGAAATGGTCTTGTGAAGGTGATTGGGTCGGTTGTATACCTATGGGTTTCTCACATGTGGGCATAGGAGCGGGAGGAAAGACCCCTGGAAGATATGCGACGGCTTCGTCCCAAGGTTGGTTCTCGAGGTCCCTATGGCGATGCTTCTTCCGACCTTGGGGGAGTTCTTCCGGCTTCTGGGCTGGGTCCCGGGTTTCCTTTCCTTGAAGAGCTCTTGCACGCGGAGCATCGCTGGGTCGATGTTTTCGCATGTGAGATCTAAACTATGAGGGAGTGTCTTGTCTCAGTGGCTCGCGGTGCTACAACCCTGAGAACAGCATCGAGTGATGATGGCGAATGGCAGGGAGAAGAGCCAGATCTCTCGGATAACTTAGCGGAGGCTGCGATTCTGGCAGCAGTCCTTCGGACCGCTTACACGGAGCTTCAGAGTAAGCTGTCTGAACTCCAGGCTCTTTGGAGCTTACGGGGGCACCGATAGCCTGAGGTTGCTCCTGGGGATTGTACGGGAAGATCATGTCGCTCGACCTTCGGGCTCTGGGAGAAGGAGATGGTGGTTGAGGTGGGTTTCTCTTTTGAGCCTCCCCATCCCTTCTCTTGGGCGGTTGTTTTCCCTGAATCCTGGCATTCGGATGGGGTGGGGGATTTCCACGCATTGGCTCTTCTTCCGTTGCTTCTATCCTCAGCCACTTCCTCTCGATTGTGCCCTTTTTGGCCAACGTCACGATATGTGGGAGTCGGCTTTAGGGATTTCGCTTCTTTTTTTTTTACACTCGCCACTTGTGATGGGTGCAGCCTTTCGGTTTTTGTTGTAGAAATCTTGTTGTAGTGATATCCCCTCTGGGGTTTACATGAATAAAACATAATTTTCTGCAAGCTTTCTTCATTTCTCTCCCTGGACTTTGTGACACACGTCTTTGGTGACTGCAACTGGATTTGGCTTATACTTTGAACAAACTGACATCTTGGCCCTAGGTGAACACCATAAATGCCCTCGACTATCTTGTACAATAAACCGGACACTTGCGCACATTTCTTTCACGTTATGATTTCTAGGGAGAGGACGGGTGTCTGAATTGA